TCCCAGGAGCCAGAAAACAGTTAGTGTTTGCTGGGAAACGCTGAGTCTGGCTAATGGTAAACCCTCCTCCCTTGTTTTTTCTCTCTTGGCTGAACATCCAAACTCCAAGTCTTTAGCAACCATTTAATACGTTTTAAATTTAACATTATCAGCATTAAGGTTGCTTTTTGTATTTGGAAGGGAGACGCAATGTCCCTGACTTTACCTTACCGTGTGAGAAGAAACCGGCACTTGGCTGGTAGTCCAGTTACCCCGTTCTAGCCCCGGCTCTGCCCTAACTCACTGGGTGACTATGCCCAGGTCACCGCTCCTCTCTGGGGTGTGGTTTGACTATCGGTAATGTTAAGGGGGGCCCAAAGATCCATGAGCTCCCTTCCAGCCCAACAGTCGATGAAGCCATGGTTGTACAGGGTGATTTGGGGAGACAGACAAGTAGCAATGTGCACATGTTCTTCCAGAAAGGGAGAAGAGATAGGAGGACACACAGAAAACACTGGCAAAAGGATGGAGACAGCAGCAGACTAGGCAGGTGGTCGTTTCAGTGCCAGACTGGGAGAGAAGCAAGGTAGTGGACAGGGGCTGCTTGGCCGGCCCTGTCCCCCTCCCCCTGCTGCTTTTGGTAACAAAGCTTTGAGAACCACCCCCTCCTCCACTCTCCCTCTGTGGACTCCAGGTCTGATGGATCCAAGCCATTAATCCTCCCTGGCTATAATCTGAAGATGGCATATACTCCAAGCCAGGCCAAGAAGAACCCACTCCTGGGTTCCCTGCTAGAGCTAGCGGAAATCAGGCATGCGCCCTCTCTCTCTCTCCCTGCAAAGTAAGGTTGCTAAGTTGGTTGGACATAAGCCTGGTATCTCTTTGCCTCTACCTCAAGGGAGCCTACCTGAGACTAAGTCTAAAACCAACACCAAGAACACAGAACCAAGACACAGCCCAGGTGGGTCCCAGGTGACGCTCAATACCCAGATCTGACAGGGTCCAAGACCCCTGGACTTCTCAGTTATAGAAATCAATCTTGATTTTTTTAGTTCTGTTTTGTTTCTTTTTTTGACTTAAGTCCTTTTGAGTTGTGTTTCTGTCTCTTACCACTGACTAAGTCAGGAGCTAAGCACCCCACTCAGCCAGCACAGCCTAGACTCCCAAATATGTCCCCACATAATGGCTGAGAGGGACATAGATCAAAGGGTTAATGCCACTGCTGCTTCTCCCAGGCAGGTGTGCTAGCTCTCACCTGGGCCCTGCTCCTGTACTAGGCCACAAACACCCCTGTGGAACACAAGGACGCCCTGAAAGAACAGATCCTACAGGGAGCTGGCTGCCTTGTTTTCTGTCCTGGAGGGATGGCACCAGCTCCCCTGGGCTGTGCTCCTTGCAGTGGTGAGCTTCTCAGGGTGGCGTCCCCTCAGCCAGAGCACCCCACTTCCTGGCTTTGGGCAAGAGCACAAGTCCCAGTTGTGGCCACTGTAGGATCCCATGCCCTGGGCCTAGCGATTGGTCCAGGAATGGTCACATGCCCCAAGGCAGAGCAGTCTGAAGCCTGCCCCAGGATTTTTTGCTTTGGGCTGGAAGAGAAGAGTCTCCCTCACTTGCTGTGAGAATGAGCCCTTGATGTTACTGGGGGCCCAGGGGAGATCTGGTGAGCAAAAGCAAAGCCAATGTCCTGGCATAAGCAGAAATGTGGGGCTGAGGGCCGTGAACCTGGCTGGCCCGGGTCCAGCCTGACCTGCTCTACCTCGCCTTCCCACATGTGAGGCCAGAAACAGCCCTCATTTCCTCCTCCCTTTAAAGCAAATTTTAAATGGATCTCTGTCACTTGTAGCCAAATGGTCCTCAAGAATACTCTTTTCTGGGACCCTCAGTCCATTAAGCATCTGCCTTCGGCTCATGATCTGGGGTCCTGGGATTGAGCCCCGCATCGGGCTCCCTGCTTAGTGGAGAGCCTGCTTCTCCCTCTGCCTCCTGCCTCTCTCTCTCTTTCTGTGTCTCTTGTGAATAAATAAATAAAACCTTTTTTTTTTTTTTTTTTTAAGTGAATACTCTTTTCTTCCAAACCAAGGGAAGAATAAACACCTAAGATCTGGGCCCTTTGTCACCACTGCCTACCAAGGAAAGCGCTTTGATATCAAGGCACAGAAACTAATACACAAGAGCTTTGGACCTGGGTTCCAATCTTAATCCCAGTAGTCACCAGCTTTGTGACTCTGTGCAAGTAACAGCCACTCTGAACCTCAGTATCCTCATCTGTGAAAAAGAGGATAATGATAGCATTCCCCCTGTGGGTGGCTGGGAGGGCAAAGTGAGTGCCTGGCAGACGGCTCTTACTCCACAGCCAGGGGCTCTTACTATGATTTCCTTCTCCTGGTTCTTTTCTACTCTGCTTCACCAAGGTCTTGGAGGGGGACAAAATGGTTTCTGGTGGCCCTGGAGCTGGTGGAAAGCCTGTGTGTAGCTCTTGGCCCTGCCGGGGAAGTTTGGAGGAAGAAGAGTTTGGCCCTGGTCTTGGGCTACAGGGAGAGCTGCTCAGGACCACACAGTCGGGGGAATGGTGGTCCGGCCAGGGAGAGGAGCCCAACCCACAGTGGTGGCTCACAGAGCCAGACCTTCCCAGCAGGCACGGAGGGACGTCCCACGTGCAGGCCTCGAAGAACCACCATTTGCTCAGCAAAGAGCAGTGTCCAGGCCCTGGGTGGGGCTTTGTGGGGCTCAGGGTCAGTCAAGGGACACAAGGAGGAGTAAGACCCAGGCACTGCCCTCCAGTAGCTAAATGCAAACATGTCTACAACAGCAGTGACGTGCTTCCTGCAGGCCCCCTCAGCCTCCCTTCCCCGCGGTGACCTCTCTCCTGCACCGTGGCAGCCTGGTGGCCCCAGGTCGCCACGTGGGGATGAGGCAGCCTCCTCTGGTCCTCTAACGCAAGCATCCTGGCTACAATCTTTCCCACCCACTGTTGACATGGTAACAGTCCCAAAGCTCCAAAAAAGTCCCTCCCTGCTCAAAAATCTTCAAGAGATCCCATTTCCTGGGGACAAAACCCAGGGGCCTCGGCCTGGCATTTCGGGCCCTTCCTGGTACAGCCCTGCCACACGTCCGGGTTGCGCCCTGGCCCATGCTTTCCTCACAGTAGCTCCCGAGCCGTCACACGGAATCCAGCTGTACTTGGGACACACCTGCAGGTTCTCCCCTCAGTGCTTGTCCCGTGAACTTCCTCTTGCCTCTGCACATCCAGATCTTTCCTGTCCTGCCCGTCCTGCAGCTCCACAGCAAACACCACCTCTTGAGGGGGGCACCATCCTCACTGTCCCCGGTGGAAGCCATCCCTCCCTAAATGGACTGCCTGGGCACCTTTCCTTGTGCCAACTGCACTTGAACCTGGCTTCCTGAGGAGGTCAAGCTGCAGAGTGTTGTACGTTCATCTTTTAAAGACTGAGAGGATGCCGGCTGCTGTCTCTCTGTCTGGTGAACACAGGAGGTCAGCCAGTCTCTGCCTCTCGCTGCGGCCCTGGGAGGCCCCTACTTGGAAATGCAAATGTGAAGCAAGCCTTGCCCTACAGGGATGGTGTTCAGGGACCTTTGGAGGGGGCTGCCAGAGGCTGCCCCTCCATGTCCCCTCTCCACACAGAGCTGGTCTCCGAGAAATGTGATGGACCAGCTTGTCCCAGGGCACACCAGACTCCTGAGAGGACAGGAACCAGGTCCCTTGCATCTTTCCTCCTAGCACTGACATTATCAGAACGCCTTGGCGAGAGTGGACACCTCCCTGAGAGCTGCTGGCAGAAACAGGCGCTGTGAAGCCAAGACAGCCTCACAACCACCCAGTGGCAGGGGAAGCCGACCTGGAGATGTCCAGACTCACCAGCTGACTCAACATCAGCCCAGCAGGGCAGAGCCCAGCCCACGGCTCAGGCCGGAAGCCTCCGGGGCCCAACACCCTCCACTCTAGCACTGAGCTGTGGGAGGATCTAGAAACAAGGGCCAGAGTAATAGAAAGCAGAAGCCTCTAAAACCTACACGTGGATCCCACACGGCAGCAGCACACGGACAGTGGTGTGGGGCACATGCGTGTAGGCAGCGTGGGATCACGTCCGTGGCGCCGTGGCAACAATGGCAGAGTGTCCCCCCTCCCCGCCCCACCGCTGGCATCACAAGTAGAACTTAAGCCTGGAGGGGGCTTCAGGGTCTTTAGACAGCTCGGGGGTCAGGCGGGCAGAGGGGAGCCCCAGCAGAGGTCTTCGGGAAGGAGGCAAGTGGGTGCTCGGGCAGTCAATCCGAGAAAGCAGAAATACACGCACATTTCCACGCAGCACAGGGGAGTGGCCCCTAGCAAACTCAGCCCAGGCTGCCCCGCTTGGAGGCAGGGTCGGGGCTCTACCACGCACAACAAGGCCCTGGAGTCTTCCCGCTGGTTCCTCTGTCGTACTGTGCAGGCAGCAGGCATGCGATAAACAGTGGGAAGGAGGGAGGGAGGGGCTGTAGGTCCAGGGGAGTCCAGAGGAGGGTGGCCTAGCCTGCTGCCGGTAATCAGGGCTGGCTTTCTGCAGAGGTGGCCCGTGAGGGCCTTGAAGTAGAAGCAGCCCTAGAGGGTCGTTTGCGACTAAGGGTTCCTGGAAAGTGTCCTTCATAGGCCTCAGGTCCCCAGCATGGTGGCAGCTAAGGCAAAAGCAGGTGCCAGCCCTCCTGGCATAAGCATGTCCCTACCCTCCCTTCTTGTCCTCAGCTTCGTGCAATTCCAGCATCTGGGGGTTCATTTTTAAGGAAAAGAATACGGACCTATCTTACTTTGCAAATGTTACAAAGTACACTGAAAACATACCAGCCGGTGAACACATTGGAGGGGCCCTACTCAGCCCGTGAGGCTCACGCTTCTTGCTGCCCATGGCACTGCTCCACCCGCAAGAGGCCTCCCCTCCCCCTGGGCCACCGGCTCGCCCAGACTCCGGCTAGCTGCACACACCAGGCAGCCGTGGCTAAAGGCCTCGTGGGCCAAGAGTTGAGCTGACCTGAAAGGCGAAGACACCCCTGACCATCGCCTCCCCAAACACGAAGCTGGAGCCGACGTCCGTGTAGCTCAGGAAGATCTGAAAGCAAAACACAAAACAAAGCAAAAGCCTGGAGGGAGTCCAGGAAGCGAGGAGGGAGAAACGGTGGCCTGGATGCCGGGGCTGGGTGAGCTGGAGGGACCTCGCAGGCCACAGGCCTGTCTGGCAGCCCAGCAGAGGAAGGGACGGCAGGCCTCCTGCGCCTCACGGGGCCGGGGCACCAGCTGGCAGTGTGCTTTGGGAAAGCAAAGAAGACCGGGAGCCAAACTTAGGGGAAGGCTCTCCTCGGTGGTGCCTTGTGCGCCTGCTTACTCCCCTCTGACCAACGGCACAGCCGCCCTCCTGTCCCCACCCCAGACTGGTGGCCACCCTTCTGCAGAGCTGATTTTTGGTACTGAACCTGCATCATGACCGCAGGGACAAGTCAGTTCTCCTGCCCAGACCTCAGGAGTCCCATCTGTAAGATGACGGTGGGGACCAGGGCAGCAGCTCCGTCTCCTCCACGACACGCGGGCAGACACGGTCGGTGCCGGGACACACCGATGTCCCCGCTCCCTCCAGATGGCACAGAGAAATCCGAGCCGGCGAGGTCGGGGTGAGGTTAGCCACGTGCCCCTGATACTTTATACTTAAAAGAGTAGCTCATGATGGGTACACAACGATGTGAATGAGCTTCGTGCCCCTTAAAGATGGTGAAAATGGTAGATTTCGTGGTATGTGTATTTACTACAAAAACAATGGAATTTAAAAATAGGACTTCATCAAACTGAACATTATTTATAGGCACACACATACACAAAGGAAATCATCTGGAATTTTCTTTTTGCACTTTCAGCTATTCTAAGTTCCCTATCACACAAGACCGCTGAGAGCCACGTGCCTTGTGCCCAGGTTCCCTAAGAAGTTTCCTGTCCTGAGACACCCTTCCACATCAGACCAGCCTCTGCAGGGACAGCTCCGTCCACGCAGATGGTGCCAGGCCCGAGGGGAGCGGCCGCCGCGCTGCTCAGACCCCAGCTGCTCACATGGTCTGGGCCCCGGGGCGCACCCATGGGCCTGGTCCCAGTCCCTCCCTACGGCCTCACCACCCAGTGCACCCCACAGAGCGGCCTCTCCTCCACCTCCTGGCAGCTCAGGATGGGCTCCAATGTTCAGGGGGCGCTGGGCCCCACCTACGTACCTGGATCTGGCTGCCCATCCACCGGAATGCGATAAATCCCGGTTCCGTTCTGATGACAAAGAGTCCGAGTGCAAACTGCAGTCCAAGGCCCCAGGACACAGCCCTCCAGGACACCTGCCACCCAACAGAAAGGTCCTGGTGAGCTCAGTCCTCGGGTGGGGGCGGGGGCGGGGGCAAGGGGGGGTCCACAGAGAACAGCACGGGGTAAGGCCAGAGAGCGCGGTGTTTTGGCTGGTCTGTAGGACGGAGACTGGAGCCAGCCAGAACTCTGGGCCTGTGGCCAATGGTCGCCTCCACCCTGGAGTCAGAGCAGGCCACACTCTTAGCAGCCATGGGCCTGGGGCAGTGGTCAGGGGTGGGGCGAGGTCTGAGGACGCATGCGAGACATGAGCAGGCTCCAGCCTGCCATGGCCCCCGGGCCGGCTCATCACGGGGTGGGCAGAGCTGGAGTTGTGGCGTCTGCCCCACCTTCCCCCACCCCTGCTCCATAGGCAGGGCTCCCGGCTGCCCTGACCCCATTCCCTCGATGCCCACAGCCCCGGCGGAGGGCGGCTGATGCCTCTCGGCATTTAACGATCCTTAGTATTGGTCCCCAAACTCAGGTGTGCATGCGGATCTCTGGGAGGCTTGGCCGGAGGCTGAGGGGGACGCTGGCCACACTGCGAACCAGGGAGGGGTCCTGGCTGCGGGGGTGGTTGCAAGGCCCAGGAGGTCAGGGAGAGAAGCCCAGGCCGGGCCTGACGGCTCAGCACTCACTGCGCGGTGATGCTTGGAGCAGGCAAAGAGGAGGCTGACGAACACGCAGATTCCTGCAAAGGACACTAGCTGCTCAGGTCGCTGGGAAGTGTCCAGAACCAGCCACAAGACCAAGCCCGGGCAAGCAGCGAGGGCCAGACCCCTGCAGGGGAGAGGCAGAAAGCTACCACTCTCGGCATCTCCCCACCCCCACATGATAGCACCCAGGGCCTCAGGAAAAGGGTGCTCACGGCTGATGGGAGGAGAGAAAGCTGTGTGACCTCACACAGACCGCCCAGCCTCTCTGGGCTAGTACCCTCGTTGGGGAAATGAAGCCAAAGACCCGCATGTCTGCAGGCTGCTGAGAGGACGAAAGAGGAGAACGCAGGGACTGAGCTTCACACAGAGCCGAGCACAGGGCTCCATCATGGGGCAGGAGCTCCCACAGCCACCACGATGCTCAGCCCAGCCTGGCCAGGCTGAGGCAGGGCCTGTGTGGCCCAGGATGAGGCAGTCGGCTCTGTGGGCTCTGCTCTCCAGAGGCTATAATGTCGGTCTGGGCAGCTGAGCCAAGCGCCTGAGCGCGAGGCCTGGAAGCAACCTTCACAGCCACGCTTTCCTCCCTGGGCCTGGATGAGCTGGCTTGTCCAGGAGGGCTGGGCACTGGGAGCTCGAGACCCGTCCCTCACCCGGTCATCAACTCCCTCGGGACCCCTGGAGCACCTACCGGATATCAGGAACTACACCGGATGTCGAGAGAGGTATGTTTCCTGCCCATTTTAGAGGTGAAGAAACTGAGTCACAGTGAGTCTGAACGACTTGGCTACAGCCGCCCATCTGAACGGTAGCAGATACGAGATTTTAACCCAGGCACCAGGAAGCAAATCTGTTCTCTTAATTAGATCCGTGCACAGCCACCAGCTGGTAAGAGGCAGACACAGGACCAGAGCTCACGCGGGCCATGGCCAGAGCTCACTGCTCACTTCTGCCCGTGTTTCCAAGCACCTAACACCCCCGGGGGCCACATGCACAGCTCTCGCCCCGTCTCTGTGCACTTGCCTTACTATTTCTCCTCATGCTAAGTCACTTTATAAAAACTTAAGCACAGGGGAACCTGGCTGGCTCAGTCTGTAGAGCAAGCAACTCTTAGTCTTAGGGTCATGAGTTCAAGCCCCACATTAGGTGTGGAGACTACTTAAAATAAAATAAAATAAAATAACAAGTGCGTGTTTGGGGCTGGGTTTTTGTTGTTGTGATTTGTTTTTAACAGCTTTGCAGAGTACATTTGGCATATGATAAATAGAATACATTGAAAAGTACAATTAAAACATTTTTTCAAAGAAGGGCGCCTGGATGGCTCAGTTGGTTGAGCATCTGACTCTAGATTTCGGCTCAGGTCATGCTCTCAAGGTCAGGAGATCAAGCCCTGTGTCAGGCTCCACACTCAGCAGGGAGACTGCTTGAGATTCTCTCTCCTGCCACCTCCTCCCACTTGCACACACACATTCTCTCTCTCTCAAAGAGAAAAAAGCATATAATTTGATGAGTTTATGTACGACCTTGAGACCATCAGCACAATTAAGACAGTGAACTTATACCCACCACCCTCAAAAGGTTCTTCACGCCCCTCTATCATTCCTCGCCTCCTCCTTCATCCCAAGGCAACAACTGATCTGTTCTCTGTCACTAGATAAGCTTGCATTTTCCAGGATTTTATATAAACAGGATCATCCCATACATATCCCTTTTTAACCTGATTTCTTTTGCTCAGTGTAACTATTTTGAGATTCCTCTACGTTTTTGCAGGTATCAGTGACTCATTCCTTTTTATCGCTGAGCGGTTTTCCATCGAGGGGGTGCGTCACCACTGGCTTATCTGTTCCCCAGCTGAAGGACACTGAGGTTGTTTCCACTGCTTGGCTGTGGCCAATAAAGCTGCTATGAACGTTCGGACGTTCCAGGGCAAATCTTTGCACGGATGCACGCTTTCACTTTTCTTGGGTCAGTACCACTTGGGTAATGCTTGGGTGAGTGAAACGGGTGAATCACACAGTAGACCTAACTTTGTAGGAGTTTGTCAACTGTTTCCCAAACTGACCACACAATTTTACACCCCTCACCAGCAGTATTTAATAACAGTTCCAGTTTCTCTATATTTTGGTCACTTCTGATAGTCAATCTTTCAAACTCTGGTCGTTCTAGTAGACACGCAGTAGTATCTCTTTGCGGTTTGGACTTTTCTCATAACTAATGATGTTGAGCCTCTTTTCACGTGGTGATTTACAACTTACATGTCTTCTTTAATGCAATGTCTGCTCCCAGCTTGAGCCCATTCTTTAATTGGGTGGTTTTCTTATTATCGAGTTTTGAGAGAGCTTAACACAGTCTGGACACAAGTCCTTTGTCAAATGTGTGATTTGCAAAACTTTTCTTATAGCCATGCCTCCTCATCTTATTCTCTTAGCCATCTTTTTTGAACAGAATTTCTTAATTCTGATGAAACTCCATTTGTCCAATTTTTTCATGGATTGTGATTTGGGTTTTGTGTCTAAGAGATTTACGTTAACTCAAGGTCACAAAGATTTTCTCCTACATTTTCTTTTTTTTTTTAATTTTTTTTAAGATTTTTTATTTATTTATTTGACAGACAGAGATCACAAGTAGGCAGAGAGGCAGGCAGAGAGAGAGAGGAAGGGAAGCAGGAGCCCCGCTGAGCAGAGAGCCCGATGCGGGGCTCGATCCCAGGACCCCGGGATCATGACCCGAGCCGAAGGCAGCGGCTTTAACCCACTGAGCCACCCAGGCGCCCCTCTCCTACATTTTCTTATAGAAGTTTTATAGTTCCAGGTTTCCAATTTACATTTTGTCTCTGTTTTCAGCTAATTTTCCATATACGGTGGGGGCATGAATTATTATTTCATTTCTCATCTTCTTCCTTTTGACTATAAATATACCATTGTTGAAGCATAATTTGTTGAAATGATTATTTCTCCACTGAATTGCTTTACCATTCTTGTCAAAAGGCAATTGGCTACATATATGTGGCTCCATTTCTGGACTCTATTTGGTGCCACTGATGTATCTGTCTGTTTTAACACTGATACCATATTGTCTTGATGAGCACAGCTTCACATTCCAGGCACTGTTCCCTCTAATCCTTTCAGGTGGGTCTTTCCTAGGTCTTGGAAGGTTTTCTCATATGCATTCACTGATCAGAACTCAGCTGTATACTCAGAGAGGACCTTCTGTGCATTTCTGGAGTTTTCTCTCTGTGCCACTGTCTTCTCTCATACTCTGTATCGTGAGCTCCCACCACCTTGGCTTCCCTGGCTTCCCAGCCCTGTATCCTCAACCCACGAAATCTGCTGGCTCACCTTGGTTCCCTTTCCCTGTACCGTGGCCTGGAAACTCTCAATGCAGTAAGTGGGGGGCAATCATAGGGCGCATCTCCCTTGTTTCCTGTTTCTCCAGGATCACTGTCTTCTGCAGCCTGATGTCCAATATTTTAAGAGCTTTGTTTCATATATTTGTTCCAGTTCTTTAGTTGTCTCTGTTATTCCATCTTGACTGGAAGCCAATACATCAAATACATGTGTTTTTTAAATTGAGACAAAATTCACATACCATACAATTTGCCCATTTAAAGTATACAACGTATGGGGCGCCTGGGTGGGTCAGTTGGTTAAGCGTCTGCCTTCGGCTCAGGTCATGATCCCAGGGTCCCAGAATCCAGTCCTGCATCAGGCTCCCTGCTCAGCTGGGAGTCTGCTTCTCCTTCTCCCTCTGCCTGCCACTCACCCTGCTTGTGCTCTCTCCCTGTCTCTTTCTATCAAATAAATAAATAAAATCTTTTAAAAAAATAAATAAATTATATAATATAATGGCCCTCCGTATATTCAGAGTTGTGTGACCATCACTATGATCGATTTTAGAATATTTTCATCAGCCCAAAGAAAAACCTAGCACCTCTAGCCATCACCCCCAATCCTTCCATCTGCTCCCCCAGCCTTAGTGGATCACTAATCTACTCTCTGTCTCTATAGACTTTCTAATTTGGACACTTCATATAAATGGTCCTTTGTGACTAGTTTCTTTCACTTGGCATAATGTTTTCAAGCTTCATCATTATTACTGCCAACAGTTTCCCTTTCTGTGGCCAAATATTCCATTATATGGATATACATATTGGAATGTATGGCAGACTAGCTGGAGGGCAGACTAGTTGGAAGGCAGATTAGTTGGAGGACAGACTANTGGAAGGCAGACTAACTGGAAGGCAGACTAGCTGGAGGACAGACTAGCTGGAGGGCAGACTAACTGGAGGGCAGACTAGTTGGAAGGCAGACTAACTGGAAGGCAGACTAGCTGGAGGGCAGACTAGCTGGAGGACAGACTAGTTGGACAGTTGATGGACATCTGGTTTGTTTCTACCTTTGGGCTATTATAATGTTGCTATAAACATCCGTGTACAAGTTTTCGAATAGATGTATGTTTTCAACTGTCAGGTATATACCTAGGAGTGGAATTGTTACATATGGTAACTCCAGTTATGATATAACTCCATGCATATTTTGAGGAACTGTTCTCTTTATTTCTTTTTTTTTTTAAAGATTTTATTTTTTGGGGGGAAGAGCACACATGCACAGGGGGAGGGGCAGAGGGAGAGGGAGGAGCAGACTCCCCGCTGAGCAGGGAGCCCGACATGGGGCTCAATCCCAGGACCCCAGGATCAGGACCTTAACCAAAGGCAGACGCCTCACTGACTGAGCCACCCCGGTGCCCCTGGAACTAATGTTTTCTAAAGCAGCTGCGGATTCGCATTTCTACCAGCAGTGGGCGAGGGGTTCAGGGCTTCCATAACTGGGTCAACACTTGTCACCATCTGTCTTTTTGTTATCTTCCCAGTAAATGTGAAGTGCTATCTCATGTGGTTTTGGTTTGCATTTTGTTGATGGCTGATGATAAGCACGTTTTCATGTGTTCACTGGCTATTTGTATATCTTTGGAGAAATGTCTATTCAAATCCTTTTCCCATTCTTCAGTTGGGTTGTCTTTTTATTGCTGAGTTATAATTCTAGATATAAGTCCTTTATCAGATACCTAATTTGCAAATATTTTAAACCTTTCTGTGGGTTGTCCTTTTACTCTCTTGATGGCGTCCTTTGAATAAAAAGGTTTTTACTTTTCATAATGTCTAATTAATCTGCATGTATTTTTTAAAGAAAACCTTGTATCTATACTTCAAATAGACAACCAGTATCAATGATTTGTCACAATTAAGGTGACTGTAAAAATAAATCCTCTTACACAGTAATAATAGTAAATATTACTAGTAATATTACTAGTAATAATAGTAAAAATTAAACTATTTAATTTTTTATTAGTATTCAAGTGACGCCCTTTTGTGTTTTACCAATTTTTTTTAGCTGCTCCAAAGATTACAATGTGTGTCTTTAGCATAACACAATCTACTCAGCTAATACTGTACTAGTTTAATAAAAGTCCACTTGTAAAAAAAAATCTATTTATAAATTTATTTTAATTATTACAAATTATAAATTTTAAAAATTTTACTCAGTTTATGCAATTCATTAATTTTAAACTTTAATTCATTTAAAATTATGAAAAATTATGATTATGAATTATTATTATTATTTATTATACATTTATATATAAATAAGATGAAAAACATGTGCTCATCCATAGGCCAGCCCAAATCATTTTGCTGTGGTACCTCCCTCGCTTAGTCACTGGACATGCTTGAGCACCAGTTTTCTTTTTTTTTTTTAAAGAGGATTTTTTAAGAAGATTTTATTTATTTATTTGAGAGAGAGAGAGAGTGGGAGACAGCATGAGAGGGGAGAAGCTGAGAGGGAGAAGCAGACTCCCCACAGAGCTGGGAGACCGATGCGGGACTCGATCCTGGGACTCCATGATCATGACCAGAGCCGAAGGCGGTCGCTTAACCAACTAAGCCACCCAGGTGCCCCGAGCACCAGTTTCTTTATCAATAAAATGGGAGACCTAAAATGGACTGGGGGGCTTCAGATTTTTTTTTAAGCCACACAAACCTTTTTTCCAGCTAGCTTTTTATTTTTACTTTCATTTTTTGCAAACCTCAGTTTATAAAACAGATAAAATAGAGCTTCCTGGTTGAAATGGAAATTTGGGGGGGGNGGGGGGGGCTCTGATGTTCTCCCCTCCAATCTCTCCCATCCTATGTGGTACCTCCAAGGTTTCTAGACCTCTAAGGAACCCAGTTTGAAAACCAGGGGATCTCAGACTGTTGTCCAGGAACACGGCTGGCTGCGTGAGAATCCCCTGGGGGTTCACTAAGGCTCCTGGGAGGCAAGCAGAGTGGTGTGTGCTCCATTGCCCAGGATGACCCAGGTGGGGCAAGGACTGAGGCCCTCCTCACCAGGCCAGCGGTGACCCAGAGGCCTCGGCCACGGCCTGCCCACCCTGCCTGGGGCTGTGAGCTCACTCACCTCTCAAACCAGAGGCCCAGGCGGTCATGTCCCAGAGGCTCCACACACCTCAGCAGTGGGGGCCCCAGCAGTCTCTTCAGCAGGCCGTGGGCAAGGACAGTGACCCCCACACAGGTGAGGACGAGCAGTGCCAGGGCCCTCTGGAAATCCAGGAGGCTGGCAGTCAGCAGGAAGGCAGCAAACGCTGGGAGCAGCAGGGGAATGACAGAGAGAGGGGTCAGTGACAGTGACACGGGCCGGCCGCCCCACCCCCAGATCCACCTTGTCCCACCCAGAGCACAGAGAACCTCTGAGCCTCAGCTGCCTCATCTGGAGTTGGGGACAGTGGTCTCTGCTGTGCTGAGGGTTGGTCCGGAGTCACTGAGGAAGGTGTGTGGAGGGGCTTTGCACACCATGCACCTGCTGACTGGCTGCAAGGGACGTGGGTATGTAAGGAGGGGGCTCCGAGGGCCTGCTCTGTCCCAGATCACGCGAGCGAGGTTGCATGGCGAGCAGAGACAGGTCAGTCACTCCGGGGAGGAGTTCACTCATGCGTGCCAGGATCCTACTCTGAAAATACGGACCATTTTCCTCCTAGAATTTCCTTCACCCTGCTCGCTCCTCTCCTCTTCGAGTCACTAAGTCAATCTGTGCTCTGCCTCAAGAAAGGAATATGACAGTGGAGAGCAGAGGGAAAAATGTCTCCCCTGCCTTACGGATTTCAGAAGTCAGGGCCCCTGAAGAATGGAAAGGACTTACGGTTCTTCCGCAGGGTAAAAATTGGAGTATGAGTAAGTATGAATCCTACCCTACTCCCTCTGCCGCCAGACTAGTCAGAGGATACTAGCTGGAGGACAGACTAGCCAGAGGACAGACTAGTTGAGGACAGGGGTTGGAGGGCAAACTAGCTAGTGGGCAGACCAGCTAGAGGGCAGACTAGCCCGAGGGTACTTGTTGGAGGACAGACTAGTTGGAGGACAGACTAGCTGAGCAGGTCAGGACCTGGGGGGACCCCTGAGGAAAGGGGTGAAGGGATAGTCCACATTGACAGAAATTAAGTTCCTATCACGTAGCTGGGATGATGAAACCGAAATGGAACAGGAGTCGAGTTCTAAGAAAGCCAGCTCCCTTCCCCTCACACCGAGGTTTGTGGCCTGGGCCTCCGACCTACACAGGTGTCACAGAGGGGCACGCTGGTATGGCTCTGCAGGGCAGGGCTGGGACGCAGGCCCAGGGAGGCTGTGGGAGGCTGAGGGAGGGGCAGCTGGGGTGCGAGGGGGCCGCGCTCAGCACCTCACAGCCTCTAACCACCCGCAGCCAGGTCTGTGCTGATCCCCAGTTAGAGACGCGGCACCTGAGGCCAACAAAGCAGGGTGACTTACACCTGCAGGGAACTGAGCTTAAATTCCTACCTAGGTCTGTCTGTCTCTGAGAGGGTGGGGAGGACTGGCGCACTGTGTGAGAAGGGGCAACGTGGACAAGTCCCCCAGACGGGGCATGGAGAGATGTGTCTTAGGAATTATTTGTGTTCTTCTAGGGTCTGTAAACCCCTCTGGGGACAGGACGCGTCTGCTCTCACTCTGAGCCCATGTGGTCCAGTGATGTCCAGCCCACTTTAGCGGTGGGAGCCCAGGGAGGGGCACGCGATGCAAACAAAGACCTCTAGTGACCTGGCCAGAAATAGGGACTTCTGAGACTGGGGACCCCGAGGCCCTCTGTCGGTGAGCGGCCAGGGCTATCTCCGCACCCACGGAGAGAGCCCATGCGAGGGGAGGACCCCGACAGCTCAGACAGACGGTGACAGAACATAAGCTTCCTTGCTCCGCCACACCTACGCCCAGAAAGTACGCAAAGGGCCTCACCAGAAAAGACACGATTCGGTAAAGCTATCAAACAGCGGGAGGAAAGCAAGACCACAAACATGGAGAAAATCGAGAACGGGCGTTGTAAAGGATCATTTACTGACTGACAGCCACGACAAAGGCGAGAGAGGGTGAGACAGGTCATTTTCATGATCTTCCTCAATCATTTCTTTCCTTTTTAAAAGAATTTATTTATTTATTCGAGGAGGGGGAGGGCAGAGGGAGAGAGGCTCAAGCAGACGAGGGAGGGTCTGAGCTCTGGACCCTGAGATCGGGATCTGAGCCTCAATCAAGGGCTGGACGCTTAGCCGGCTGAGCCACCAGGTGCTCCTACTTCAATCATTTCTTCAGCAGAAGCCAGTATGAGTCTGTGTGGGGGTGGAAGCGAGCGGACAGAGAAGCCCGGGCTCAGATCCTGCCGAAAGAAGACTTCACTGTCTCCGGCATCTCTAGCAGGAAGCTCTGAGGGGCCGTGAACCAGCCCCTCTCAGCAGACAGCCCTGCTTTCACTTTCAACATGGAGACCCCGGCCCCTGCCATCACGGCGCTCTGTGCCTCTCCCTGCCTGGCCCCCTGTCGGGGGGGGTCTCTGCCTCTACACCCACACCCTCTCCACTTCCTACCTGTAGGACGAGGTGACCTGCCCCTTCACGCGGGCCCCTTGCCCTCCTCCCCTAGGTCTAGGGGGCTGTCCTCCACCTGCCATCTGTCTCCTCGTCCTTCCCCTTCTTTCTATGCACCCCCCAACTCAGCTCACAAACATGGTCCAAGTGCCTCCTGTCCCCATCACACACCTTCCCTGACACTTTGACACACCCTGCTTGTTAATATTCCCACCTGTCCTCGTAAAGAATCCCTCCAGAAATATGTCTGTCCTTGCTGTCCGCACTGCGTCACCTCCCATTCACTCCAATCCAGCTCCCCTCCCTCCGCAGCCCCCGAGTGACCTGCTTGGCACTAAATCCCCCGGCCACCGCCCCGTCCCTGTTCCACAGCCCCACTTTCCGCAGAGGAGCCCTCCACCTCTCCTGACCACCCCTACCCCCGGGGCTCCTGAGTCTCCCGTCCCCCACCCCCATCCCCACATCCCCTCAGGCTCGCTCTGCCCCCTCCTCTGCCAACACCCTCTGTGCGGCTGGTCCCCAGGCTGCCGTCACTGACCCGCTGCTCGATTCATTCTCCAGGCGTCCCTGGGGAGCCCCTCCCTTCCTCCGAGGCCTGGCTGTGGTGGCGTCAGCACCCTGTCCCAAACAACCGGCCGTCCCTCCTCCTGCCAAAGCTGCCTACTCCTGTGCTCCCGGCTGTGGAGGTCCCATCATGCACCTGACTGCCTGACTAGAACCCCAAGGCACCCCGGATTCCAGGGCATCCTTCACCCTGCACATTTGCTGGGCTCCCAGGTCTGCTGGAGAAGTAGATTCCCGAGGGCCTCCCCGTCCCCTACACTCTGTCTTCCCACCCATGGACTGCCGCCCTCACCACCTCCTCGTCCTCCCTGCCTCCCTCTCCCAGGCTTCCACAGTGTGGATCCCGCCCCAACGCCTGCCTGTTCAATCTCTCAGTGGTACTCTCTGGCTCTGGGGTAACATTCAGGTCCCTGAGCAGCCTGCCCGCACCATGCCGGGCTTCACCTCTGCTCCTGGGGTTCCTGCATGGAGTGCTTTCTCACCCTTACCGTCCTGCTGCTGCACCTGGCTGGCTCCTGTTCGACTGCTGAGGCCTGAATGTCACCACCTCCTGGAAGTCCTCCCCAGTCACTCCCATCCCTCCTTGGTGTTCCTAGCTGGCTGGCTGCGTCATGGGGAAATATTAGCTCCCCTCTCCCTGGCTGAGCAGAGAGGACCTTGGGGACAAGACCTGACCTGGCTTCCTTCTGCTATCCCAGCTTCTGGCCCAGAGCCGGCCCTGAGTGGGGTGGTGAATTACTGGAGAAGTGGGTGCCCTGGGACACGGAGGGCTGGGTGGGGGGGGGGGGGGGCGGGGGGGGGGGGGGGGGGGCGGCAGGGTCCGCCAGGGGCCCCAGACCCCACCTGCCAACACCTTGGGCAGAAGCCACTCAGGCACATCCCCAGCGAGGTGGAGGCGTGGGCGAAGCGGGGCGCCGGCCTCGACGTCACAGGACCCCAGAGCCAACTGAGAAATGGCCCGGAGCGGCCGCGCCGCCTGCCCCAGAACACGGCCCTCGGGCTCGGGAGGGATGTGACCCGCATGCCGAGGCGGAACCGGCCGCCGCAGACATGCGCAAACCAGGACGGCGCGCGCGCGGCCCGCCCCTCCCATGCCCACCTGTCTGCGGAGCCCGGGGTTGGTGGGGGAGGCTGCCAGCTCCGCATTCTTCCCAGGGACGGGAGACTCACCACCTGGGTCGCAGCCCGTCGCAGCCTGTGAAAGCCCGCTTCATGCCCGCAGTGCCCCCCAGCACCCGCCTTCCTGGCCCAGTGCAAATGCCAGCTCTTGCCTGGTCACCTGGCTGCCTGTCTATCCCAGGAGGAAAGGCGGGCACTGGGATGGCCTCTGGGGCCCCACAGGCTGGGCATGGAGGAGGTGCTCACTTCAGCCACCAGCTGCTATTTTAGGGACGCCCCTCCTGTCCCTGTCCCCACTTCCAGCCTTTCCCCACCTCCCCTCCACCACCCTCCTCCTCCCGCTCTCCTCAGCTCAGGATCTGGCCAGTGGGGACCCCTGCGAGCCTGGGCATCCAGAGACGGAGTTCTAGGCTCCAACTTGCTGCCTGTGTGGCCAGGGCCGGTCTCTCTTCCTCTCAGGGCTTCAGCCACCCCATGAGAAATGAGGGGACCAGACCAGTTCAGGGGGTTTCAAACCAAGCCTCGAGGTTCCCAGCGATGCCCCAGAGACTAAATGGGGTAGCAGGTAGATGGAGAGGTTGGGGGGTGGGTCAGGCTGGTCCGGGGCCCCCAGCCAGCTTCAGTCAGAACAGCCCCACAGGCTATACTGAGGTCCCTGCAGGGATTTCGTTCCAGCCACTTCAAGGCAGGTTGGGAGCTCCTGGCCTGGGTCACCGCTGCCCACAGTGCTCATTTGTTGGCTAAAGCATGTTTGCTCCTTTCTATGACAAAGGTTCTGGGAGCCCCTCCCTATTGTCAGCAGGCCAGGTTCCTGTCCCCGCTCCCCACAGTGACCTCCGCCCCGGGCCAAGGTCCCTCCTGGAGACCACCTACCAGCCTGAGAAGGGCTCCGGGCGGGCCTCGGTCCAGCTGTCCCCACCCTCTACAGGGCTTGTGACGTCACCAGGGGTCCAGCCTTCCTCCTAAAGCCACCAGAGAGGAACCAGTGAGAGCGGAGAGAGACCCTGGCTGGTACCTGCATGACCATGGGCACCTCAGGAGGGGGCTGGAGTGGCGGCTGGGCTTTCACACAGGAAGTCATTAGAGGACAACTTCATTAAATTCTGCAAAGCACACATTGAGTGCCTACTGTGTGCTGGACTCATTACCAGACACATCCTGCCCTCAGGGAGCCCATAGTCTGCACGCAGGAGGGACCCTGGAACCTCAGTGGCAGCCGGTTGGGGAAGCCGCAGGCGGGGCCAACTCATGGCATGGCCCCAGGACGCCATCTGCCCTCCGTTTGTCTGCAGAGTTGTGTTTTGGGGGGTAGAGGGGCTCCTCTTGCAGAGGACAGTGGGAAAGGAACACCCTGGGGCTGCACGTTGTGCTGAAGGGGCAGGGGCATGTGCTGGGAACGGTGGGGAGGGAAACGGGTGCCATATCTAGCTCCAGAGTTCTGGGGGGCAGGCCTCTACTTGGCCATCGCAGAGCGAGGACAAGATGGCCAGCTTCTTAAAGGCTGTGGCCCCAAAAGAGCTCCACCCCCACCCCACCTCTGATCACGTGGTCTCTCCTTGTTTCTTAGATCACAGCTCAAACGTCCCTTCTAACCAGGGCGGGTAGTCCCTGTACACTGCAGGGGCACAACCCGGGGTTAATGAGCGAAACAAACGGGCTGCTCTGTGTGGAGGAGGCCAACATGTTGGGGGGTTCCCTAAGCTTTCAAGCAAAGAGGTAGGGGGGTGAAGGAAGATGGTGTGCAAAGAGCCCTCCCACAAGGGAGCCAAAATAGGGAAGGGGAAGGAGACAGACCAGGCTTTCCAAGAACTCAGCCCCCATGTTCTCCAGACCATTAGCCACAGATGTGAGCGAGATGGACTCTCTTGGTTTTGGTGTCTTGTCTTCCATGTGTCAGACCTTCCAGCTGAAAGACAAAGTCAGGGCCCAAAGCTGAAAGCAAAAGGTGAGGCAGGACCCAGGGAGGGGGCCTGGAGAAGGGAAGAGGATGGGAGAGGGATGGAAATGGGGAGTAGACACCTGGTGCTGCTTTGGTCATCCCAGAGTTCAACCCTCCTTGTGCCTGGGGGGCCACAGAGGAAGGTGCCCCTTCCTCCACTCAATTCTGAACCCATGGGGCCCAAGCCCTTGCAAATTCTGTCTGTCTCATGGGGGAGGTCAAGGAAGGGATTCTGCAAAAGAGGCTCCAGCTTTCATGACTCCCATAGCAGGTTAAAGACTAAAGTCACTAAGGGATAGCTTCACCCTATTATACTGTCCCACCCCTGAAAGCTGGAAAAATAATATCCCAAAGACTCTTCCAGGCCCTGGATCCAACCAGATCTGAAACTAGCCCTTCCGCTGGACTTTTCAATTCTGAGAGCCAACATAGTCCTTTTTTTTTTTGCTCAAGTTCATAGGCTTAACTCATCTGAATGAGAGCCCGAGTTAAGACCCCATCTCTCTCCACTCCTGTCTCCTCTCTGTTTCTTCCCCTTGGGGAGCACCCTGCTTGATCCAAACCCCGGCCTGGTGAAGCTCACACGGTGAGAAGCACATACACATGGGTGCCCACGCGAGCAAGGAGATGTGTGCAAGCACACAGACAGGCAGAGCCCAGGAGTACCTAGCTACCAGTGCATACAGGCAGACGCACAGCCACCAGAGACAGGCAGGACCCCCGTCCTACTCACGTATTTGTGGTGAATGGGTTACTTTCGGGCCTGGACAGGAGCGTGTCTTTCCACGGGGACAAAATGACTTTGACCCACTTGCACTTCGGCTCGTCTTCTCTTCTCAGTGCAGGTTCCTGGGCAGAGTCCAGAGCCCAGGAAGTTGGGCCTCCCACCTAGCTCCGTCCGCTGCCCTCTCCAGAGCCCGGGGCGGTGGCCAGACCCTAACCGCTCTCAGGGAGAAGGGAAACAGAGCCAGTGGGTCTCACTCTGGGCCTGGCCTGCTGGGCTCCTGCTTTTAAACTTCATCTGCCTTCCTCCTCTGAGATGCCCTCCTCTTTACTCTTCCAGGTCCCACATAGGCCCACCTCTTCCAGGAAGCCTGTCTTCACTATTCTCATTCTTTGACGTTCACCCCCACCCAGCCCGTGGCCCGCTTCTCCACTGGCCCTCGAGGTCACCCAGGCTGGAGGATCACGCGTGTTTGCTTTTCATCTCGCATCTCCCCAGGCCCCCTTCCTCACGGAATTAGTGATTCTGACAGCAAGCTCTTTCCCCACACTCAAAAGTAAGGAAACCAGGCTGCTGTCACAAACAGCAACGGCAGCTCATGTCCAAGCCTCCAAAACGTCAGGACGATGGAATGAAATCACACAGTTTGGCCACCTTTCTTCTTTCCTCCTTTCCTCCTCCCTCCCTTTCTTCCTCCCTCCCTCCCTTTCTTTCTTTCTTTCTTTCTTTCTTTCTCTTTCTTTTCTTTTTCTTCTTTCTCATATAAGTAATTTGTTTCTTTTTCTTTCTTTTTTTTTCAAATTTTTATTTAAATTCCAGCTAGTTAACAAACCATGT